TTTTTCGCATTAAAGTTGTTATTCCTTCCTGGTTGATTGACGTTTTACGAGTTTCGCGAAGCCCGTTCGGTTCCTCTTTTTAGATTCATTAATCCGTTGTCAGTGCGCTCCACTCGAATTTCATAGGCGCTGCCCGTAGTCGCGACGTGGAGCCAAATCTTTCGAAAGAAAAGAATCGTAATGTCCATAGGACGTAACAATATGTTTTTCTTCTTTTATTATTATCATTTAATTCTTTAAAATTTAATAACTATAAATTTCATTATCAATATGATAATGAAATTATTTTTAATACTATGTGATTTTTCAAATTAGATTTTTCTAATAAAATGACTAAGTCAAATTGAAATTTTAATATATTTTTGGTGTTCAGCATGGTGGAATTATACTCTCCGTCAATATGTAGATAAATTATCAACATAAGAAAAAAATAGATTCGAAATCGGTTTGATCGACAAGATTTATTAGCAATGAGAAAAGATAAAATAACAAAAATAATAAAATAAATAAAACGCGAGAACATCAAATCTACGTAAATTGGTACTCAACTGATTCTATTCACTTCAATAAAGAATATTATGTGATCGATACTGTCTAAGGGTTTATACCTCAAAGAAAGTATAGCGTACTCGGAATAAAGTATACCGTACCGGAAAATTACAATGTACGCAGAATGTGACTGTATACATCAGCTGGTCAACTCTTTTATTTACCCGATCTCACCATCGCTTCTCCTCTCGTTCACGTCTTTCTCGAAGTTTCTCTGTCCTATAAATGTTATTATTCGTGTATGTTTATCGCTCGCCATCGTTAACTTTTAAACTTTAAATTATACTATAACATTTGATAATAATTATTTCCATGTAGAGTTACAATACAGATTAATAAAATACAATTTTCACGTTCTCACGTTTTTCCGAATTACCATTCGCCTAGTTTTTACCTTCGTATGTCATCAATATAAAAAGCAAGATGAGGAAAAACTAGAGAAAGAAATTTACGGGTTTAAATGTCTACTGTTTTTATTTTTGCAGCCAGCGTATTTGTATGTAACTGTCTACTAGCTACGTGTATCTCGAGTGTATGTATCTGTATGTCTGTGTTTATATCACGACGACTGCTTTCGCGGATCTACATATCTGTGCCGATGCAATTGTCACAGCACCTCCCTGCTAGTGATGTACTACGTCATGATATAGATTTAAAAAGAAATAAATAAATAATGTGCTGAATTCTATGCGAGCGCTACGTAGATGAATATAATAAATACAATAAATAAAATAAAATAAAAATAAAATAAAATGCTATTAAATTATACTGGTTTTAAAAGATGTGCGAACGCGTGAGTCGAATGAAAACTATAATAATAAATAATAAAATAATAATAAATAAATAAATATAATTTTCTGGAGTCAGTCTCTCATCCAAAGTCAGTCGGAACTCTCCGGCCGGACCGCGTCGTCGCTCCCGGTTCCGCCTGTTTATCCTTTGCCTCGCGTCGTCGTTCCTCGTCTTGTTGTTATCCTCAATCGGCTGTAATACCATCGCATCCTTTTCCTCGTCAGCATCTGAAATTATATATGCTGGTTTAATTCGGTCTATTGAAATTGCGTTGTCTTTGCCGTGCATGCGTACGACAAAAACTTTATCCATCTTCTTTATAATCGCATACGGCTCCTCGTAAGGCTGTTGCAATAATCCTTTCGGTCCATCCCGGCGCACAAACATCAGTTGTTGCCAGGTCTTTAAAAATAAAAGATCATCACTCTCCTGCTTCCCTCGCCTGGGGGACGTATCTCGCTAAAATGGTTCTGCAATTTCACCGCAAAATCTGCGGCGTCGTCCGTCTTCTCCGTCGGTCGCCGATCCAAAAATTGCCCCGGGAGTCGCAGCGACTGTCCGTACACCAAATCCGCTGCAGTAGCCCTAAGATCCTCCGTCCAGGCTGCTCGTATGCCCAGCAGGACGGTAGGCAGCACTTGGTTCATTGGCTATTCTGACGGCATTTTATCGCCGCCTTAAGTTGGCCATGGAGTCGCTCCGCTATTTCATTCGCCTGTGGGTGATAAGCCGTTGTCCTCAGACGTATTCCAGACAGCTTGCTCAACCGACGGAAAAGGCGAGACTCGAACTGTCGTCTCTGGTCCGTGATGATTTGCACTGGCGCGCTGAACCGGCAAATCCATCCCTTATACCAGGTGTACAAGTATGAAATGCGGATTTTTTTTCCAAAAGAAACACGTTAAATTCGGAAGAGTGATAAAAAGAGCTTTATTCAAAGTATGCTCCGTTGCTAGTTACACATTTTTCCCATCTTTCGGGCAATTTGTGGATACCACGCCAGTAAAAATCTTCCCCCTTTGCCGCGAACCATTCATCGAGCCATTTTTTCACATCTTCGTACGAACCAAAGCGCTGCTCAGCAAGTACGTGACCCATCGATGCAAACAAGTGGTAATCGGAAGGAGCCAAGTCTAGTGAGTAAGCTGCATGGGGAACTTCCCAGCTGAGTGCTTTCAACGTTTCGCGAACCGGTTTTGCCGTATGTGATGGAGCATTGTCATGAAGAAAAATGACTTTGTGTTGTCTCTTTTGGTATTCTGGTCTTTTTTCAAGCAGCGAACGGTTCAAATCGATCAATTGTTGTTGGTAGCGTCCAGCATTAATCTTAGAGGTCTAGGGGCGCGATTCCCTGTCTTCTCCGTAACTGCGCAGATATTTTATATGGTGAAAAAGCTGCGCAACGACACTGACAACTGTCGGTAAGCGTGTAAAGACAGTTACGAGATCACGCCCCAGTTGCAAGATTCTCTAAACGTTTTATCGATAATTGTCGCAACCGTTAATTAACGATAGCCAATGAGTACCGCACTTTCTTCCAGGATAATTCTGCCATTAGCTGTCGCTAGTTAACGATAGCTACAATTGTTGATAAAATGTTTAGAGAATTCCGCAACAGGGGCCTTATTCTTGAAAAGTATTGCATACAAAAAACTAGAGAAATGCTATAGTATATGTAACGTATACTATAGTGTTTTTTCAAGAATAGGAGCCCTGGGGCGCGATTCTGTAAGGCCTGGTCTACAATCAGTCGGGAAACGTTGTCGTATTAAACGCATACGCATAACCTTCATTTTTCGTGTCGGCTGTTGATGTTGGCTGCTGGGCATCGTTTGGATTGGTCAAGTCCCATCTTTTACGACATCTTTACTCTAACGACATCCAACAAGCATCAGCTGACTTTATTGTAGACGAGGCCTAAGTCCGGATCTATAATAGGTATTTTAAGCCTTAAGCTATAAGAAATTGACTAACTACAGTCGAATGCAAGGAGAATAATTGATTGTGATTCGTCCATTCCTTATGGCTTAAGGAGATCCTAAAGCAAAGCTCGAGCTCCAACAAAATCACCAGAGGTCGCGCCGCGCATCGATGTGTTTTTATATACTACCACATCAATATCTCACGCACCTATGATACTTGCAGTCGCACATTCGTGTCAATTTTCATATAACAAATTCGTCGCGATAAAGCATCTAATTTAAAAAATTCGATGTTATTTGTTCGTGTAAATTACATGTCTGCGAACCACTATTTCGTACGTACAGGTTGCAAAGCATTCATTTTAAGCAAATGTTGTCACGTACATGTTGACTTGACAGCTCAGATACCATGTTTCATTAAGAAATGGTAAAAAATATATCAATTTTGAAATTTTTAATTGTCTTAGGCATAGACTCCATTCCCAGACACGTATTTAATGCATATACTTTAATCCTAGAAAAGGATTTTTGAATTGGTAAAAGAGAAAAAAGTATTTGTTATATAAAAATTATATGATTTAATCGGTAAAACATGAGGTTTTAGGATCCTTTTAAGGCTTAAAAATCTATTGTAGATTCGGGATATATCCATACAAACTTGCATAGCTGTATAAACGTATGCATAAATAAAATTATCCAATCGCATTTCTCTCATAAATACGCACGTAAAATGTAATTGGATAATTTTTAATAATAAAGTTTATGTGAATATATCCTAATGGCCACAGACTCTTGCATAACGCATAATGCATAGTGCATAAGGGAATCAACTAATTGAAATCCTTCTTTTCTAGGGAATGGGAGGAAAGATTCTAGTTGATTCGCTTATGCATTATGCGTTATGCGTCATGCAAAAGTCTCTGCGGCCTTAACTGTCTTTACACGTCTACCGACAACTGTTGGTAGACGTGTCAGTTACAGAATATAGGCCTTGTTCTTTTTGGCTGAACTTTTGCATCAGTTTATCTTTCTTCCTCTTCTTTCCTCCTGGAGAGAAAAGAAAGAAAGATGAACTGGTGTAAAAGTTCAGCTAAAAAGAGGTCTGTTTTCTGTGGCTGAACTAGTGTGCATTTTTAGAATTTGAAGTGAAATAGGTATATGTTTTGTAGCGAGATGCTACGTATAATAAATGTAGGTAATGGATGGCACCAGATTCATAAGCAATAATGTTTATTTATTAGCATATACAATATCTTATTGCGACAATATAATTCGAAGTGTGTCGTATGTCTGATCAGTTAAAGAACTAAGCGAAGAGAATATCTAGATTAGAAATTCAGTATCGTGTTCGTGAGAGCGCGACATCTGGTCGCGGAGTATGTATATGAGTATAAGGCATGAAGTACAATTGAAAGAGTGTGAGAATGGATGGTGTGTGTGTGTGCGCGCGCGCGCGCGCGCGCGTGGTGTGTGTGTGGAAATGTGAATGTGTCTCCACAATTTGATATTTGTTGAAAGTGAGAAAGAGAATGCTAGTGCAGTTTAGTACAGGAACAGAAAACAGACCATATAATAGGCCTTAGCTCACGCACCTGATCAAGGCACCTTGACCTATTTTGACGCTAAAAATGAGCGTTAAGCGTTAGCATGAAAAGGCACCCTTAGGCCCTGCGTACAATAGAAGGAATAAGGAATTAAGAATAAAGAATAAACGATTTCAACCTATCAGAAACCTTGTATTCCGTGATGTATTTGATTTCTGATAGATTAGAATCATTTATTCTTTATTCCTAATTTCTTATTCCTTCTATTGTGCGCAGAGCCTTATGCTGTGACCGAGCTTTGGCCGATCTCTATTTATAGGATCAATAGTTTAGAATCGTTCGGTCGCTAGTAACAGTAATGTCCCGATCTTGTATAGTAAGGATTGATAATTAAAAAATGTTTTCAATGGTTTTTTTTTTGTAGTTGCAAAATTATACAATATATTGTCTTAATTTAAATTTATAGAAAAATGAAATTATTATCAACTGTGAACAGGCAATCGGTGTTACCGATTTTACTCGGCATATCCTTAACAACTTTTGGATTATCAGTGGCAATTTTGCTGTACACTATGGTTGAAAAAGTAAAGCTTGCTTTCTTGACATAAAATTTCTTTATTCTGTGTTTTCTTTATTACTAAAGTCTATTTTATAATGTATTTTTTGTTTCCTGTTTCTTGTTTTTTTACTATTTTTTAAGCCTATTCGACAATGTGCTTTTTGTTTCTTGTTTCTTGCTTTTTACCTTTTGCTATTTTCCTCATTGCAATTGTTTTATCGATAATTGTATTTCTTGCTACGTATTTCTTGTTTCTTTCGAAGTTCGTTAACTTTTATTTTGGGTGATATAAAACAAAAAACTGGATAAGGAGCAAAAAGACAAGATATAAAAAACAACAAAAAGAAACAGAAAACAAAAAGCATATTGTAGAATAAGCTTTAAAATTAATGAATTTTAAAAGAAACAGAAACAACAAGAAATACAATTGTTAAAACGGGGGAAAGCAAGAAATTGGAAACACAGCATATTGTAAAATAAGCTTAATCTGTCTGTGAAGTTCAATGAAATTTATTTGTTAATATAAGTTTAAATAAATTAATAAATTAATATAAGCGTATATATAAGCTTATTATATTGTAGGATGATAATGATGATAGAAAGAAATATGGTCGGATATCTAAATGCAAAAAAATTTGTGTGGAATTTAAAATGTCTGAGAAGTATGTATCTGCTGTTATTGGTAAAGGTGGTGCTGTAATAAGAAATATAGAAGAGTTAACCAACACATGCATTAAGATGGAAAAGGCAGACTTATATTGTTCAGATCGTGTCTGTTACATTTGGTCTGATAACGCAGAAAACATTTATTCAGCAGAGAATATGATACAATCTATAATAAACAATCTACCTGTCATTGAAACCTTTGAATTGTTTGTCCCTTTTGAAGTTTCTAGAAGAATTTTTAAAAAAAATTGGAATGATTTTGGATTTGTGCAAGAGATTCGAAAAACTCATGGTACAAAAATTATACTTGAGAGTGATCCTCATAAAACTGAAAGTATGTTCTCAATATTTATATAAAATTTGCAATATTACCATGTTATTACTATAATTACTAATTTTTTATAGCTGGACTCAAAAGAAGGATAATATTAAAGGGAACTGCTGATCAAATAGCGGCAGCCATTATTCAAATAGAAGATAAAGTACAAGATGAAATTAAAGCTGAAGTTCAACTAAGAACGCAAGTTACAACTGCAAGAATATCTGAATTATCCCATATTAACATTGATATTAAAAATACAACAGAGGATCATTCTGATATTGAAACTTATAAATTATTAGTGCCACATGAAGCTTGTGGAAGAATTATAGGAAAAAATAGATGCACAGTGCAAGAAATGGAAAGATTCTCTGGTTCAAAAATCATACTTGAAAATGTTGCTAATAAATTTGAAAGTAAATATTTTTTAACATTTTTCATAATTTGTCTGAATTGATAAGATATTTATATTTTATTATTAACTGTATTATATATGATTATAATTAATAAATATTGTAAATGAAATTCAGATGGACAAATTGATTATCAAGTATCAAGATCTGGTTTGATGGCTTTGAAAATTGGATACATTTGTTTTTTAATTAATCTCTGTATTCTGTTGTCTATAATAACAAATGCAATAATTATGTTTTTTTATAAATCAAAGAAATGTAACAATAATTGGCACTGATAAACAAATTGAACTATAATAGCTACTAATTAGATAAAAAATAAAATTAAAGAGGCAATTGAATTTCGTAATGAATGGAATTATGAATCTACAATGACCATAAAAAGTATATCTGATTCTCCATGTAACGATGGTATTAGAACTTCTAATAATGTTTTAAAGGCATTAGAACAAGATATTTGAAAAACAAATTATATTATGAAACATTGATTTTGTAAATTTTATAAATTTATATTTCATAAAAATTCATTAATATTTGATTTTTATATATTGTATTACAATTAAATTTTGATTTTAATAGATGGTTTAATGGAAGTATATGTATCTGCAATGGAAACGCCAAGTCTGTTTTGGATTCAAGTGGTTGGTTCTGCAAATATTCATTTACAACACTTAGTACACGATATGACAAAATATTACAACGAAAAGGAAAATTGTCAACTCCATACCTTGAAAAAAGTAAGTAGAAACGTAACTCATTTAATTTTATTGCTATAACGAGATATTTAAAACAAGATAAATGTAAACAAGAGAGATAGAGAATTGTAATTATACATATAATATTATAGAACCGTTTTTTATTCCTGCAATCTCTGAATTGGTGCACACAGTGCAGTAAGTTGAATTGAAACAAACGTATAGAGAGTGCATGAATAAAAAAAACAGACTTTATGTTTTTATAAATGATATACAATCATAAGTGAATCAACCGATATATGAATAATATAAAAAGATGCAAAAATAGCTAAAGCGAATTCATTCAAAGCGAATTTTAGTAACTAATTTTGTACATGATATCTATATTTCTATACTTTTATGATATCTATGTATATAGTAATAATTTAATTGTATACATGTATGCCATATATGCATGTATTTTCATTTATTGGAAATACTTGCGATTTTCTCATATCTCACAAAAAGTTAAGTATAAAAAAGTTTTCAAAAAATTTTGAAAAAATTCATGCGAATCGAGAATTGTAAGAACTGAAAAATGCATATTAAAAAATCAAGTAGAAACATTAGGCATTAACAATAAGATTTACTTTGATCGAATTTGACTCTTTTATAATAATAATGATAATAATAATGATAATGATAATGATAATGATAATAATATAACAATAATAAATAATAATAATATAATAACATTAACAACTACAATAATAACAACAATAATAATACGAAAATTATTGAATACGAAATATAATTTGCGCTTTGTGATTAGCGTGTCGTAATACAATTATATAAATCTGACCGTTTCAGTTCACATTTAAGCTATGCTGAAATTTCTTAATACATTTTTTTTATAATCAAGATAATGTGGATCTTCATCAATCTGCATATGTATTGTTGTTGTTTAGCACAGAATTATCTTATGATTTGTATTATGTGCGTTATATTTTTTTGCAGATATCACTACGAGGTATATATTCTCAGTATTCATAAATGTCCAATTCAATTACATGGTTTAGTGGTGTTGGAAAAATCTTAAGCTAAAATTTTTATTGTATAGCAATCAATCAGAAGAATAATTGAGATTAAATATCATATATTGTCCGCCATTTACCTCATAGTAGTATCAATTGCATCCTGATAGCAAAATGTTAGCAATTTGGGATCAAATTGGCAGCAAACTTCATTAGATTTTGACTACAAAACTATAGCCATCTGTGTCCGCATTTGGCTATGAATTTGTCGACAAAGCCTGTTGACAGTCAATGTCAGCAAATTGGTGGCAGAAACCGAGCAGACTTTGCTCGGTTTCTTCTACCATTCTGCTGGCATAGCATGTCTAGAGGCTTTGTTATATTTCTGGCAGCAATTTGCTGACAATGTCAGATAATACAAATTCTGTATACAATTTGGTGCCTTTCTGCAAAAAATTGGTAACAGGCTCTGTTCAAAATCTGTCTCCGCAGGCTTTGCTATCAGGGTGCAACGATATCGTGAATGTTTATATAAGTTTAATAAATTGTTTATATAAATTTAAGTAGGATAAGATATTTAGTTCGATGATCACATTATTAAAATCATAATAATTAAAATTCGATATGTGTCATGTCCATTAAACGTATGTACATGCAATCAGACATTAAAATGATATCGCGAGCTGATAACGAAGAAAGATCATTTCGATCAAATTAAAAAACACCTACATGTTATTTATATTTTGTTGAGTATTTCTATGTACGCATGGTTTAAGTTTTTAGTATCCGTTTTCATTTTTAAATCACCTGTTTGATTGGCGATTTATATCTAACATCTTCGACATCTATTGCAAGAAATACAACGTTCATGATACAAATCATAAGATAATGAGGTAGATAACGACACACATGTGGATTGATGGAGATCTACATTAGCCTAACTGATTAATTATCAAAGAATATTCTTCTTATTATTAAGAAATTTCTGCTGAGGATAGTTCAAATATAAGCTGAAACATTTAGGTTTATATTAATCACAAAGAGCAAATTATATTTCCAGGGCCCCGATTCTTAAAGCCCTACTTAATGTATATATTATATTATTATTATATTAATTCTAAGAATTTCATAAATATTATTTATACATTTTTAATCTAATTATTTAGTTTTGACTCTTCTCTCTATTTGTACTATTCATATATCAATCATAATAATACTAATTTTATTGTATCTATAACTGTTTGTGTGTTGATAGATAATAGTAGGTCAAATGGTAGCAGCAAGATTTAAATATGACAACAAGTGGTATCGTGCAGAAGTAATATCCGTTATGGAATCTTCTGAATATAAAGTCTTCTTTGTAGATTATGGAGATTTGGAAATTGTTCCCATAGATGATATATTAGAACTTCGTACAGATATGTTAAGCTTACGCCTGCAGGCTGTGGAGTGTTCGTTGGCAAACGTAAAGCCACGGTAAATTAACATCTCATTGATCAATAGATGTTACTGTTGTTAATTATTCTTTAACAACATATTATTTTCAGAGAAAGCGAATGGAGTTCCAAAGCTAACGACAAGTTCGCTGAACTTACTCATTTAGCGAAATGGAAACCGCTCATTGCTCAAGTTAAAGGCTACAAAGAACGTTCAGTTGGTTATGGAGGATCTCGCCGTGAAAATTCATTGATTCCTTCTATCAATCTATATGACAAAGATAATGATAAGGTGAGATGAAAGGGATAAGGAGATTTTTACATTTCATAAATCTTGAACTCTATACGTTCTCGATGTCTTTGCTGTATATATAATAATATAAACATTTTTTGGTTTTATGAAGGAGGATTTTTGCAAAATATCACGTCATAAATATGCGATTTTATTCAGACTATATAATAATCTTATATTATGATGGCTTTGAGATTAATTTATTATCTTAATTATAACAATTATAATTAAGATAAATATATTATTTATTGAATAACAGCGGTGTAAAGACTCTTTATGTATAAACAAAATAAACAAAATAAATGGCGAAAAAGAGTCGTCGTATGATACAGGGTGGGCCATCTATTGGTACGTTTTTAAAAATGCGATCAAATGAGCATACATTGATATTTTTTATTAATTTTTTTTTTGTTGTGAAGCTAAAAGTATCCGCGTCAAGAATGAAAAACGATTTCGTTCATGTGGCTCCCTCTACTGGCCTTACAGTATGCCATTCGGTCACCCCAATTATTAA